CGTATGTACTTCTGTTTTATGCTTTCAACTGTTGTTAGTTAATATTTGAAGATAATTTAAAGGATATGATGTTAATTTGTAAAGTATTTAACCCTTAGTCCATAGTGTTTAAGACCCAAAAAGTCTTATAAAATAAAAATACATTTAATACGTATTTATTCTAATTTGTGATTTATATTTGTGAAGTATTTTCAATAGAAACTGAACATGTCATTACCTTCTATTGTTATAAATTGTGGGAGCAGAGCTGATAGATCAAGTCTATTTTTTTGTTGTCTTCTAGATTTAAACGAATTATAAGCTAAAAGGAAACAACGATAAATTATGATTTATCAACTGATTTGACAGGGAGCAAAATCAAATATACCGGGTGTTCAAATTAAAGTGTTACAGTTAAATACTGGCTCTTATAAAAAAACGTTTCAGACGAAAGTTTTATAGTTTTTTGGGGAAAACATTTTGGCTAAAATCGTTTTTTATAGCTAACCATAATATGGCCAACTTTTTTTTCGCGCAGCAAAATTTTCTAGTATGTGTTACTCAATAAGTAAACGTCCATTAAAAAAATGTTTTCTTTAAAAGTTACTTATTTTTTATGAACTTTAAGAATATGTAAAAAAATGGGGTACCAATTTGATAAAAAAAAGTTTACCTCGATATGGCCATATTATGGTCAGCTATAAAAAAATGATTTAGCCAAATTGTTTCCCCCAAAAAAACTATAAAACTTTTGCGTGAAACTTTTTTTTTTATAAAATGCATATTCTTGGCGGTATTTAACTGGAACACTTTAATTTGAACACTAGGTATAAAAGTATAAAATATTTTTTTGCTTTATTTATAATTTTGTGTTAGATAAGCCACCATCTCAAGAAAATTGTTCATATCTGAATTCATGTAGAGCATAGGTATATTAGTACAGGATACAAAGTAAGGTCGATCTTCGTTCATCTGCTTACCGGATTAAATAAAATATGTTAATAAATATACCGCAAACGGGTTGCCTAAAAAATAGGAATCATGATTAAAGTTGCTTGTGATGTCATTCTCTATAATTCTTCTCTTATACATGATTTCCCTAAAATGACTCGTATTCGAGGGAAAATGCAAATACTTATCTAATAGGTTACTAAACCAGATTAATTAGAACTAAAGTTATTTTTTATTTGGTAACTATACAGGGTGTTAAAAAAAAAGTGTCACAAAATGAAATGGTGAATAGTATGACCCAAAATAAGCAGAAAATTCTTAATAAATATATGACCGCAAATTAACGGTTTCTGAGATACGGACCATTTTGTGTTTATAACAATTTTTTATTATTATAAAAAAACAATGATATTTATAAACAATCAATAACAACATAGAGTTAAATGAAGGGATGTGGCGATTAGGGAAAGCGTCGATATACTGACGTAGCGCTTCCCTCACATTGCCATTTGCACGACCGTACATAAAATGCATGTCAGCTAATTCAATATTAGTTAAACAGGCATAACGAAAATTTATAAAATTATTCACCCACAACAAAATAATAACTGCAAATAGTATCTATGAAAAAACATCGGTAGACTCCGATAAGAAAAGCAAGTTTTTGAGAATGAAAAAAGATAATCAAAAAATGATACAAAACACCTGAAACCATTCATTTGCGGAAATATGTTTATTAAGACTTTTCTGCATATTTTGGCCCATACTACCCCCCGTTTTATTTTGTGACACTTTTTTTTTAACACCCTGTATATCCTAGAAGAATGGTACTGACTGAATATGTTTTACAATTGTTACACAGAAAAAAAGCTGTACTATATTCAAAATGAATGGTCTTATTTAAATGCTTTGTTGTGTTTGTATATCCACAAGTAAAACTCGTCTCGATTTGAAATTCTAGTAATACTTGTTCAACAATATCTAATAAGCCTTACTTCAAGATTAGAATCAACTTGCCCTAACCAAAATACCTCTAATTAAATGAAGAGTATCTATTGCTCAATTGCAGTATTATGTACATCTTAAATGAAATAGTCTTACACTTGTTTTAAATATACTTTATTTATATTCAATAATACCTGGTTCTTAAATCCAATACAACTAAATTTGTTACAATAATATGATATTTGACATAAATATATTGATTTTGGTTTAATTATAGGATAGTTTGATTGAAGAAATTAATAATCTTGAAATAAGAACAGGCTGTTCTTGCTTTTTAATAGGGTTCTTACTGATACCTATCCACCGTCAAACATTTTTCAAAATTGTTTTTAGTTAATATACCAAATTGCTCTGTCCTCTGAGGTATCCCACCTATAATTAAAAAAAAATATTTTATAGCATCAAAACCTAAATGGAACATAAAAGTTTGCTAAGATAAGAGGTCGTATTTACAAAATGAATATTTTTAGTAAATGTGGGTAGGTAGATAAGTACGTCCTTTTAGACTTCGCAAATAAGTTTTGCATATTTTACTAACCTTTTCTTATAATTATAGTAAATATTTTCTAATGCAAATAGGCCTTTATTATTTTGTGTTATAATAAAATAAATAATAAAATAGTCGGTTTTAAGAGCATATCATACTTATAATAAACGTTAGAGCTTTCTTGGATTAATTCACAATTCTATACTCGAATGAAATAATTTATTCTCAGATTAATTATTTTAACTCTTAAAATACAAGATTACGTCTATACTTCACTCAACATTTATTTTCTTATAGTATCGAGAAATATTATTTAAAGCAAAATCTGCTTTATTTCAAACAAATGTAATCTTCCAAGTGTAAAGCTTTTCTTGAATGTAGATGATAATTTTTTTCTGTGTACCTTCGTTTCCATTGTATTTTAAGTTTCCTTTTTTTTTTCCCGTTTTTTTTTCTCTTAGACAAAATTTTTTGCAAAAATATCATTGCCTACTAGATAGGTTCAGCAAAAAGTTAACAGCCCTCGTATTTTCTGTTCAGGAGATAACTTGAGAATAAATTTAACACGATGGCCCTCATTCCATAATATTCAAGAGCATTTAGAAGTGTTTGGTAAGGCACCGTGCCAAAGGCTTTTTAAAAAAATCGAGAAATACAGCTATTACAATAAAGATGTGTAACAAATGTTATTTCACCCATGGACATTTTCTATATTTGAATTTTGATATTTAATAATGAAACAAGTTAATGAACATTGAGATAATTCATTTTTATTTTCAATATTCTTAAGTATAATAAAGCTCTTCTATTTAATTGTTTCTCTAAACGAGCTCGTTCCTCATAAAATTTTGCATTGTTGAATTTTTTTTCTCATTCTCCCAATTACAATTTCTCTTATTGAATATTTAGAGAAAACGTACCAGACATTTCGGGGGTGGAGTTGTTTCATTTCTCCGATTACCAACGTCGGTATCGCCCTGACAAACTGATATTGTCTGAAATCGGATCAAAATAGAATTCGAAAGCATTATTATCGCTTTTAATGATTATTGGTAACGTCTACGAGAAGGGCAATATAATTCTATTGCTAATATTATACCTTATACTTAAGTGAATTGATACAATTTGAATGTTGATAATTCAATTTCTTGAAGTACCTCGAAGAGTTAAAAGTTAAAAATAAACTCATCAATAAAATAACGTCTCTTTCACTCTAATTTTATAGTAACTATGCAGAAATACAAGGATTGTTTGATAACTACGTGGCATACCAAAGAAAACGCAAGTTTTTTTCGGCAAAAAACATTTTATTTTCCAATATACTCTACTGTTCGCTCAAGACGATTATTCCAGCGACATTTTAAATTAGCAATTCCTTCATTGTAGTCCTTAGATTAGATTAGGAGTTGGACGTTATTTGTCCTTGTTCACCGCGATTCCAATAGTGTTTAATCCAACTCTGCGTTGATTTCGATTGGTGTCATGCGTTTCAGTTGAAAGTACTTTATCACTGCTGTCAACTCGGGTTTTTTCCATTGTTCACAAAATCACACGATCCATTCATTTTGGCGTACTGTAAAAAATAGATTAATTGACAGTTCGCTCTGTACTGTCAGTTTAGGCCACCTAGTTATCGAACAATCTTCGTAATAAAAAATACAGTTTATATTAAATTATAGTAGGTTATGTGAAAAATTTATAAATAATAAGTACTACAAAAAATATCAAACCCTATTAAAGTTTTTTGGAATATAATCAATAATAATTATTTAAAATTACAAATACTTATACAAATACAAAGAAGATTTTGTCAATATTTACATTTAAATTCTGGAAGGACACCTGTATGTACTGTGAAAAAAAAATATTTTATCCCTTAAATTAAACTGGAATACTACTAAATAAATGAAAGATTTTTTTCTATCTTACTTTATAAATAATTTATGTTGATCCAATTTTGAGAAATGAATAATTTACTTCCTTCACTAAATTTTGCGTACGTTTGATATGAATGGGGAGTGAATTGTAACATACGAGTGTTTCGGCCTTGAATTTGCCTGAATAAAGATAAGCGACCTTTGTTAAGTCGAACCTAAATTCAAAAATTGGTGAATATAATGATTCTTATACAAATAATTTAAATAAAAACATAGGTTAGATTAAATATTTAATTTTGTTCAAAGTTTCATTTTAATATATTCAACTCCTGTCTGTGGCCGTGGAGAAAGTACAGTGTGTTACTCTGTTGAAATAAAAATCCGATACTCATGATTCTTCACGTTCGCACTTAGAATCTTCCATTCGTATCGAATTTTCACTCTAACCTTGTTACAAAACATACTATTATTTGACAAGTTGAGAGAACTACATCAGTACGTTGACCATATTTAATAGTATTTCTAAGCCTTTAATCTGAGAAGGGCACAAGAAGTAGTATAATCGGATATCAGCAGCGTACCTTCTAGTTACAACTGATGCTATTAAAGATGTATAGTACAGGCCTAGAATAGATCCTTGCGCTACTCCACGCATTGCCTTATTTCGCGATGAATTTAACTAACTAATATACTTGTTTCAGATAATCCGACAGCTCTGGTGGTACCAGATATGTCGTATTCGAGTTCGGAGGGAGAAGACGATTTTTATGATGCCAATGATTCCCCTTTCTCTGCCGGTAGCCAGCTTCCTTCACCTGCGTAAGTACTTTCCTCGTATTTCATAATTTAAGATATTGAAAGGGTTTCATGGCATTTTTTATTTTGACATGAGACAAAACAAGGTAGCGGAATGGCACGAGTTTCGGACATGTCACTACTTTTGGTCAACGCTAAACCTTATACCCCAAAATGAACTTGGTCATTATAAAAAAGGAAAGATCCAAAGGAACACCAGATAGGATAAGGAATAATATGCGAGGGTTAAACCGTTGGTGTATGTTATACAAGCATTCTGTACTATGTATACTATTTATGTATTTCGTGTACTATTTGTATACTAGCTTGTACTATTTTGTATAATTGTTTAGAGTTGCCAACATTGCAGCGATGCTGACCGGGATGATTATTTTGTTGAGGAATACACAAACGACTTTTTTAGATCATATCTAAGACCCTTTTTTAGTCTACTTGTGTACTATTTCCCTGCTATTTAGGGTGTACTAGCGTACAACATTTTCCCGGCGATTTACCTCTTGATACTGTTTATGTACTTATTTATCGGAATTTAAACACATTGTTTACTTTAAACTCATTTATTGTTAGAAATACAACCGACGATTGCCGTTAATGATCAACTCCTGTTCAAGCTTGTCTGGACCAATCAAATCATCCATTACTCTCGTTGGTCTGTGGCACGGTGCGTAAATTTAAACACAGTGTTTAGGTACACGCTAACTTGTACGCAATTCAAAAAGTTACATACACGCGAAACGTCTTGACAGAGTAGGTGAGATGTGTCTAGGCCGTTGGTGTTTATGCCGGTCGGCGTAGCTAGGTATGAACTGAAATTTTCTGATGTGGACGAAGCCGCCACCCTACGAGAAGTATTTGCTTCGTTTTCTTGTTGTCACGGCATTATTATTATTATTATTTGTTCAAATATGTGAAATTTGCTTCTAAGGTTTATAAAATATTACTGCTAGTCACGGCGTAAATGAAAACAATCAAGACGCATTCACACAAACACCTCCCACCATAGCAATATGACGTTTCGCGTGTATCTAATTTTTTGATTTGTATACACTTTAGCGTGTACCTAGCAACAACGAAATTTAAATACAAATTGAGAGCTAACAAATACGTAACAAGCTGGTGTAAGTAACCCATTACGAACGAAATTAGAAGATTGCACATTTTATGCGGCTTCGTGTATAATGAGCTTACAACTCGTGTTACGTCAAGGGGTTAAAATATTGGACATTAGTGCACACACATTACGCAAATGTACACAAATATAGGGTTTTGGGCTACGGGTTTAGAGTGCCCTTTGTCTGTTCTTCAAAAAAATTCTGGTCATCATGCATTGTTGACAACCCTTAGAGTTTAGAGCAAGAGAAAAAAGTCCTATATGTATTCTGCAACAAAATTATAGTGAGGATTACCTCGATCACTACGTAATAATTTAGTACATTACGTTATGTTAACTAAATCAAAAATTAACTTAAAAGGAAAAACAATGCATTATTACTAAAATGTATTTTGTGGCAAGTGCAATATGGAGATATCTAGGTTAATGTTATACCACATATTAGTAATCCAATGCACCACGCATTGGATTACTAATAAAATTAGTTTTCAAATGAAGTGTCACACTTTATCATAGGTAATAATTTTTTTATCCCGCTAGAGGGCGCTAAAATTAAAAGGAACACAATGAACAGTCATATTGCTGAATTATTCATAACAGTAGGGTAAATTCGGGTAAGATGACGAAGTTAACGATTCGAGTTGAATTACTTCAAAACCGTTAACTACACTTCCCCAATAAATTAACGCACCATCGAAAAATAACAAAAAGTTTAAAGTAAATATTTGTCAAAACCACTTGCCTGTTTTGGACGATTTTTTTTTTTTTTTTAATGACAGGTTGCCTCTTCCACAACGTCGGTTTGCTAACTGTGTTTGCATAAAATCCTCTTTTTTATTAATACAGGGTGTAGCAATTATAGCGTGATTTTTTCATAAAAGTTGTAACACCCTGTAGTTACGTTACCAAGTTCGCATTGATATCACAATTTAGCCTTATCTTCTCTTAACAATTTCATTTTTTATTTACTCCATTATGTTTCCTATTACACGAGAAACTCAATTTTATAACTTAACATGACTTTATTCATTTGCATTAGCATTATAAGCACTAAAGAAAGTAGCATGCTATGGAAAAACCAGTAATTGTCAAATACAGATGCGTATTGTCAGTATTTAGTCCATTCGCCATTTTTTGCAAAAAAAATTATTAAACAATATGCCACGAAATCTTACTCGCGAAGAATGTGATCAAGCTTTAATATTGTTTGAAGAGGGTTGGAGAATTGGTGAACGATTTGACGTAACCCACACAACCGTTTCACGAGTTATACAAAGATATAGAGAGACTGGAAATCATGGTCTTAGGCTGGGACAAGGAGGAAACCGAGTAACTACTCCGATTCAGGATCGATTTTTAAGACTGTCAGCATTAATACGTTTTGTAACAGCTCGGACCCTTCAAACCCAGCTTCGGGATACTAATGGTTTAGAAGTTTGTACAGAAACTGTTCGTCAGCGACTAAGGGAACATAATTTGAGGCCTAGAATAGCTGCTCGAGGTCCAGTTCTAACTAGAGTTCATCGCAGAGCAAGGCTAAATTTTGCCAGAGAGCATCGTAACTGGTTAGAGGCTGAATGGCAACAGGTATTATTTACTGATGAGTCTCGATTTTGTCTGTATAACAATGACAGGCGTATGCGCGTATACCGACGCCCTAATGAACGGTATGCTCAGTGTAATTTCTCACATACAACATTATTTGGAGGAGGATCTCTGATGGTCTGGGGAGGCATTTCTTTGACTGATCGCACAGAACTTGTAATCTTAAATGGAAGCCTTACAGCTGACAGGTACATATTGGAGATTTTAGACGAACATTTAGTTCCATTTGCACCATATATAGGGCAAGGATTTTTGTTGATGCAAGATAATGCCAGGCCTCATGTTGCTCGAGTTGTGAGAAATTATCTAGAAGAATTTGGTATCGCTACCATGGCATGGCCAGCTCGGAGCCCGGATTTAAATCCGATAGAAAATCTCTGGCATACTCTTGGGAGGAGATTACAAGGGGAAAGTAATCTGAACTCTCTGGAAGATATACGGCAGAGCAGGGGCAGCTCGTGGCCAAAATTTTGGGGGTTCAGAATAGCAGAATATAGATCCTGGTACAGATATAGGTAAGAAACTGTCAGTGTTTTAGAAAGGTATATTATAAACTTCCTAAAACACTGAAAGTTTTTTCATACATCTGTACTGATACATATATTCTGTCACTGTGAACCCCCTCACGAGCCGCCACTGCGGCAGAGATTGATTCAAATATGGGAAGAATTGGACCAAAATGACATAAGGTCTCTTATTTTAAGTATGGGCCACCGTTGTCAAGAAGTTATTCGTGCCAGAGGCGGAAATACTCGCTACTGACATTTATTTCGTTACATTTTGTTTCGTGTTTTCATTGTTAAATTTTGATATTAATTTTTAATAAAATCATGTTATGTTATAAAATAATATTTCTCGAATAATGACAAAGATAATGGAGTAAATAAGAAAAGAAATTGTTAAGAAAAGATAAGGCTACATTGTGAGATCAATTCTAACTTGGTAATGTAACTGTTGCACTCTACAGGGTGTTACAACTTTTATGAAAAAATCACATCATAATTGATACACCCTGTATTAATAAAAAAGAGGGTTTTATACAAACACAGTTAGCACACCGACGTTGTAAAAAAAAATCGTCTAAATCAGACAAGTGGTTTTGACAAATATGTACTTTAAACTTTTTGTTATTTTTTGATGGTGCGTTAAATTATTGGGGAAGTGTAGATCTTTGATCTTATGTGCTTCACGTATATGAAATTTATTCTTTTTAACAAATCTGGAGTGAATAATACATTTAAGTGTTTTTTTTTTACCTGTGATTTTTTTTTATTGTAAAATTCGTCATCTTAACCCCACCTGCTGCTAAGATGACTTTTATGTGTGGGTAAGTTGACGGATATTTTTAATAACACAAATATTTTCGAAAAAGATGCTTATAATAAAAAAAGAAAAAATCAAATAGCGTCATAGCCAACTCTAACAATCTAGAAAAAAATAAAAAAACGTTCTATGATAATAAAATAAACAAAACACAAAATTCTTTAAAAATATTTAACAAAGTTCGAATTCAATTATCGATTACAAAAATCACACAACCACTTCTTGGCTTTGGCTTGCTTAATATCCAGATCAGTGCACGCGGCATGGGCCCATTTTTTACACTTTGACCACTGAAACCATAGTTCCCGATCTTTTCCTTCGTCATCACAGATGACGCATAACTTATTATCAGATATCTTGTTACTCTCAGAAGAGTGATTATCATCATCAGTGTCTACCAAGTCCACTTCAATTGACGAATTTGACAAATCTGTTGAATTGAATACTCTTCACTTAACCAGTTTCCTTGGTTCCATTTTCTTCTTCTTTAGTAATTCTTTGGCTTTTTTTTTCCTCCCTGGCTGCTGCCCTAAGTTTTTGTTGTTTCTCTTTCTCTTGCTTTTCCTGTTCCTTTATTTCCAAAACAGTTTTTACTGACGTGCTTGAAATAACAAGGGATATAGTTTAGCTCTTTTGCGTTTAGTTCTGACTTCTACAACAGGCAATGGCGGAAGTCGTGTTGAGTAAAATTGTTTGGTTGGTATCGTACAAAAAGTAGAAGAATGAGCTTCATACAGATTAGATTCCTCTTTCATTTTTTCGACGATTTCAGTAGATGGCGGAGATTGCATTGTTTCTTGAATCTCTTCATCGTTATTGATATCAGCTGTTGACTGACTGGACAAGGGTGGGTCGGGTTGGACTTTATTGGAAGTTGTAGCATCAGGATAGGTGTCAGTAGTTTCAGAAGTTGCAAAGGCCAATTCAGAGAAAAATTCTGAATCGAACGGGTCCATACCCGTTG